CGCACATCTTGGGGGAGAGGTAGCTCATCGATTCTTCCGGTTCGCCTCCTAGTATCGTGCTATAAGGTACCAGGCGATAACCAGGGTAGTTGGTCGATAGCTCGATGACGTCATTTCGTTGGCGTCTGCAATGGAAAATTCTCATAGCAGGCGTTGACGATGGGACGTTGTCGAGTTGTTGAATAACAACTATCGTGGTAACTCACTGATTACCTGTCGATCTGCCAAATTTGGAAAGACGTCTGCATTGAATTGTCTCATATAATAATATTCCGCCCACTATATCACAAGAAATTGCGAGTAGCTGAGTGGAATGGAGATAAGTTAAGCATTGGGTGCAGGACCAAGTCTCCCCTGGGTGGTGCCAAAAGATGAGCGCAATAGAATCATCAAGTTGCCATAAGGCACGGAATGAGACTATTGCATGGCTGGGTAGTCAAAGTCTTCCATTCGTTAGTCATTTCAGGTGGATTAGAACAGGTTTAGGTTTAGGGTGGGCGTTGGCCAGATTTGGATTTTTCAGATGTAATCCTGGATAGGACCCTGTGATTGAACGTCGCGTGAAAGTGGAACTTAATGAAGGGCTAAGTACTTTTTCGTAGTTTTTAGTTTTCGGATTTGAAAGATCGTCGGTTACAGTGGCCTCCTTACTGAGCAGAAAAACGCGGTCCTATGTCCTTACATATCAAAGAGATTTATGGTAAAATCGCTTGTGTATCGTGTATTTTGCGAAACTCGTTGTTGTCGTTGGTTCCGGGTTTGAATGGATACACAAATTTGAGCAACGGTATTATGTGATATGAGGGACTCGGTGGCCTTAGAGCAACCGTTTTTGCTTACTGAGCAGAACATCGTGAGTCTAATCTTAGGCCCATCCACATTCAAGATTCGTCAATCGTTTTATTTGTTAATATGACTACATGGTAATAACAGCAACTCGGTGATTAAAAAGGTGCTCGTCTGCCTAGTGGCAAACGTTTTTGCTTACTGAGCAGAAGACCGTGGGTTTAATCCCAAGCTCCTTTGCGTTATATGATCGTTAAGACATCAATTCAGCTTATCGTTTACCAAAACGAACCCTGCTGCAAACCCAACCCTCTTATCCAATATCCCAGTGATTCCTCGTGGAAGTGCAGGTGTTCTCGGCTTCCATCAAAGCGAGTGTCATGTCAACACAATCCTTCCCATTCCTTTCTTGACCTGTGTTCGGGCGCGGCCGGCGCTGGTATTGCCTAATTTAAGATCACCAGTTTTTACACATTGAGGATGATTGCTAGTCCCAAGCATCGTCTATTGGTTCTCTGTGTAATTACAGCTGATCTGGCAGTAACAGAGTAGCAACCGTGGGCGGTCAATCAAGCTCAAGCTCAAGCTCAAGCTCAAGCAAAATAATCGCACATCAGTCCCATCCTGAAATTCAATCGCCCATAGTTAAAGTTAAAGTCTGCTTTTTGAATTGCCATATTTTTCGCTGATATAACAAAACATGCAAGCTTCATTGCAACAGATTTTAATAGTACATTAATTTTATCAATTAATTTACTATTATTTATCAAATATTTACATGGAAATTGCACTTCGTAACTTCGACTGCCATTTTCACAATGCTTATTTTTTCCATATGGGACTGATATGGGATTATAGGCAGTATAGGAGACTAAACATGTAAACTAGAGCCCTTTAGTTTAAGAAGAATAAGAAAAAGATTATTCTCAATAACAGCTCATGACAAATATAATGGAAAATTTTGTGATATGGTGGCCAAATAACCCATCATAAAAAGTTACCCATATCTAAACCCAGCTTCTAGCGGCGCCGGTGGTGTAGTGGTAAGCGTGATTACTTCCCACCCCAGCAGGCCTGGGTTCATTCACAGTCGAAGAAGAATACCGCTGAGAATGATATAGGTTGCCCATGCAGATGATGCAATGATTTTTTATCTTTTTTATTTCGTGTTCTGTCTACGCTTTCGACCAACCACATAGCTTTTTATTTATAACATTGTAGAACGACGGACACACTTGCTTCGATTCTCTCCAATTTCCCTTCAGCAGAAAAAGCATGCGAAATCAAATTATTAGCTTATCCATGTTCCGAATCATGGAACAGTGGAAAAAGGACAGGTCTGATAACCGCAACGTTCGTGGTTCTCCGGTCCTGTCCGGTCCTTTTTTTTTCGTCATAATTAATTTCTCTCACTTAAACAACCCACAAATATTTCGGTCATAAATTTTCTTGCATTAGACCGCAGCTTAATACATCTCATCCTCCGTTAATGTGGTCTCCACTAACATCCTGCGATGATGAATCCCACATATTTGTAAGCATATCTTACATTCACCGGTTACGTGCACACGCGACGTATAACATGTAAAGCGTATCATCAGAAATTCTCTCTTTTGCACTTTATTTCGCTTGATTGTTTCGTGTTTCTTGTATATTTATTCTTCGTCATTCTTGTGCTTCCTGATGGTCTTGCCAGGTGCAATAGGGTAGGTGTCTCAGTTATGACTATGCGGTGAGTTTCAATTATGTCCTATGGAATTCCCATGGCCATAATTGGAACACACTATATTAGGAACGTATAGCCATAACAAGTTATCATCATATGATAACGGTCATGACCAGGGTTCATAATCGATAACCGTCGATATTGTCTGCAATGTTGAATTTTTTAACGCTGACGTTATCGCCGGTTATCCATTAACAGCCATGGTCATGACATTGCACAAGCCTGCTAGTCAGTAAAGGTACGGTACAACCAATCCGGAGATAGATGGCGGGTTCGATTCCCGGTCCAGTAGTCTTGAACATCTTTCGGGTTGGAAATATTCTCGACTTCCCATGCTTGTCACACAATGTGCAAATCCATGCATTGGTTGGCATAGAAAGCTCTTAATTTAAGTGGGAAAATGCTTCATATAACACTAAGTTGAGAGTCGGCGTAAGGTTGTATTAGACCGTCAATGCCTTTTTATCAGTGCGAAGCTCAGCCTGAGGTAGGTTTTAAAAACAAACGATCAAACAAAAATAAAAAAAACGAGCAGACACGATCTTGATACCCGATTCAGGTTGGAACTGAATAATAAACGAATTCGCTATAAGTTAAACTAATAAATTGCTCCCTTTAATCAGTTTCCCCTGCAGAAGGCACCAACAAATACTGAAATGTTGGGACGAGTAACAAATGTGTCGTTCGAAAATCAGAGTACTTCACAGATAAGGCGAAATCAGAGACGGTTTTACCCCCACCAAGGTGATTATTCACTAAAACAGGCGTGATAGGACTAGGAACATTAAATAATAATTAAAAATTTCAAACGAACTACAGTTGAAAAGACGCATATGTTCCACTTAAAATTTATACATGTAAACCATACAAATTCAAGAAATAAACATAATTTAAAGTCAGAGACGGTTTGAATCTCTACAGTCGACCGCTCTTTCTCAAGTTCCGAGATAATACAAGTTCAAAGTAAAATGAGCAATATAAGGGAACTCAGCAAAAATTTAGGGTGCTTCGAACATAGCAGAAGCTCGGTGAACTTCTTATAAGTTCAACAAACTCCGTAGTTGAAGAAACTTCGAATAGCTCAGGGAAATCTGTAGAAGTTCAAGGAAATATGTAGTAGTTCAGGGAGATTTGCACAAGCTCTGAAAGCTTTATTCATATTATGGACTACCCATAAACGCACAACAGTCCCATTAGAATAGGAAATCGAGCAAATATTTATGTAACTGTTATGCTGTTATGGGCAGTAAAAGCCACGTACAAGTTTAGAAAATTTCACACAAGTTCATGAAACTTCGAACTAACCAGGGTTGTTAATCAATAACCGTCGATAACGTCAGCGTTAACGTCTGCAATGGTGAATTTTTTGACGTTATTGACGGTTTTCGATCATCAACCCAGTTCCTGACATAAAAAAATCGCAAAAGTTTTAGAAAATAACTTGTAGTGAAGTTTTGGGAAATTTCTGAGAAAACTTCGGGAAACAACAGATAATATTGAAAAAAATTCGAGATACAATATGGGAACATCAGAATAGTACGGGGAACTTTAAGGGAAACTTATACGAGAAGCTCCGAGAACTTTGTAGGGGGATTCTTAAATGCTCGGATGTGATATGTATATTTTTTACACCGTTAGCAAAAGCTATTAAAGTGAATATTCCAGAAATTAGCACGTGTTCACAGAATTCAGGGTAAATATTTTGTGATGTAAGAGCCCCGCTGGTCTAGATGGTGATAATCCCAGGCAACTTTATAAATCCGAGCATCGTGCATTGTCTTTTTTGTGGAGCCATTTTTGCTTGCTGAGCCGAAGATAATTGTTTCTATCCGCGCTAAGCATTACATTACTGAATTGATAGGGTTACATCCTCGCATCATTTGGTTATCATGTTATAAAAGATCTCATCACTTCCCAAAGTGAAGTCTCCAAATCGAGTTCACCCGTCCCACTATCGTCCTTCCCGTGACATTCGTCGAGATGCAAAGGAATGCTCGGCCACTACTAACAACAGATGATGTACTAATAATCTTTCCCTCTCTGATAACATGGGGGCATGGCTGGTGCCGTTATTGATCTTGATAGCATTGATTCGCCGTTTGCACACTGAGAAAAGATGGCTATTTCCATGCCCCATTCGGTTGGTTCTTTATGTACATTTTGCTGCGGATTAACCCCTACGGTCATCAATTCTCATGCTTATACTCATTTCGAAATGATTTCGTAAAAAATAGCGGCAAATATATTCAAATGTAGTTAATTTTAAATAAATCTATTAGTTTGGAATTTCTGAATATGTATAATGATTTTATTTTTGCTGGGAAAACATGTTTATAGATACGAAACTGCAGTGTATGACATGACACCATCCGAATGAGTAACAATCTCCATAGTCCATCTTAATCTTAGATATATTTTCCATTATTCATAAAAAATATAAAATATGTCATGATTGCTATCGTAACGGTTGACTATTTCTTTATCCTAGGAACAAATTATTTCCCATATCGACCTGAAATAAATTTTGCATTTGAACGTGACACAAAGTCATACGGAGGAGAACCAGTCTATGAGGACCACCACTACGACAGTGCTTCGTACCACGATTATGCATACGAAGGAGGCATACCTCAACGGTTCAATGCGCCACGTGTTCCTGCTATGGGTGTAAGTGCCGCTGGTCACAGGAGAACGCTGTCCAACGTTTCTGCAACGGCTAGCAATATCAATCAAGGGTTTCATCTAGATCAGGATGATGACGTTGAAGTAGTAGATGACACTATTTATAATCTAAATCAGTTCTACATAAGCAGTAATCCCAATGCAGTCAAAGTGCCCGAAACTACCTTCGTTCCTAATCGTATTCGTGAGTATGAAAACATTCCAAACTACTTTAAGCGGCAAACTAGTCTGAACGCTGGTTATTCGGGTCACTTTTCTAATGAATTTATCAATATCACCAATCATGAGCGACCTATGAGCTTAGGTTTAGAGCACGGGGGAATACAATCTGCTGGGGCTGGTTCCCAAGTAAAATTACGATCTAGTTTGAAGAAGCACAATTCCCAGCAACATCAGCAGCATCAAAAGAAATATAGCACTGGTTCAAGTGGCAGCTGTGGAACACCGGGTACTGCGAATCAGACACCACCAGATAGCCTAACTAGTGATGATAGCTCGTACTTAAGTGCGAAGGATAATTCTTCTTCGATGTCGTCTCAGAGTCGGGTTCGATTCACGCCTGAAATACTATTGGATATACAACAGCCACAGCTGCAGCAGCAGCAGCAGCAACAACAACAACATCATCAACAGCAGCTATCTTCCCAGCAGACTCAAATTAGTCAAAGTTCTGCTCTTGGATCACACGTTCCCCTGGGACGAAGGTCGTCAGGTGGCACCATACCGGTAGCGTCTTCAAGCAATACTTCTCTTGTGAGCAGACGTCGCTCAAACACAAGTGAATCCGAACAATCCTAGCAGTACGTTAAAACCTATATGGTGTAACTTTCGATTTCCCTCATAGTGCACTTATTGACCTGCGCACTTTTTATGGGTAAGACAAGCGGGGTGATAAGAAGATTAAGAGATCAAAGAAGGAAGCAATTTTGTTGCCGCTGATACAGATAGAGTGAAAGTGATTACGTGCTTGATTTCCTTTATTGCAGTATTGAAAAGAGAGAAAAAAGTAACATTAATACTCAACAAAGATCGTATCAATTCCATGTCGGTAGCAGCATCTATAAAATACTCAGAAATATTGCTACGCCACTTTTAGCTCTGCGAAAAACCAATAAAACAATTCCAAACTGAGCAGCCAGCGGTTCAAAGGTTTCGAACATGGTCGGGGAAAATGTTTTATCGCATTGTGGTTCTACCATAACGACCAGTATTCAGCAGTGTTTATGTAGGAATGTCTTTGCTCAGTTAGATTCCTTTGTACGTTATGGTTGGGAAATGTTCTAGGGACAATATCTTTGATAGCACTGTTTCATGTCAGTACCACACTTAATATCACCAGGTCTCTCGGTTTCAACCATAAACAATCGTTCTAGGGTTGTTAATTGTCGGCTTCTGCAGTGCTTTAAGCCGAAGACAAGATTATTCAAAGAGGATTATTCTATCAAGCACAGCCAAATTTTCTAGAAAACCCAATATATACCACATCATTCCTACCTACTGCCATAGTCAAGTGGCTGTGTTCGATCGATAAATTAATTTAGCCAAACCCCACAGCTTATACCAGCTCTATGCGGGGGCGTTCAGAAACTTTGAGCCGCTTCTGTTTGTTTCGTACTACCTACTCATTCCATGCATCGAAACTTTTCTTTTTAACTTTTACTAAAGAAGAAAGTGCAACACAGTGTTGGAAAAAAGACACAGTTAGAGTTTTGTTTTTGCTTTTATTTGATGGCTTTAATGGTGCTACGTGCTATCGTGCTCTTTCGTTGTGCATTGTGCTTATTAACGTTGCGTCTGTCCACAAATTTCTTTAACGTGTTCTGGGTAGGGTTGCTATTTAATGTAGCTGTTCTGCTCGGTAAACTTCTACGTCTATATTTGCAGCGATCGCTTCAATTGTAAACTCGAACCAGTTTCATTCTAAAAACTAACGAATAGGGGAAAGTGGGGAAAGATGGCCACCCTAACGAAGCTTGAATGAAATTCCACTATTTGAAACAGAAAATAAATATTTTTACAATCTTAGGGAAGCTGCAAGGGAAACCTACAATTGTTTGCTTGAATAACAATTATGCAAAACTTTTAAACTTCGAAAAAAGTTCAAGAAAAAAAAACTTCAAAGTTTCTGGCAATTGGTTCTACTCAAGAGGCAAGATGGATAGTCCTATGCTGCCGGTGGACGCATAATTTCCCCATGTGCTATGTGATTCCCTATACACATGGGTCAGTTATGGGCACCAACAATTTTAAACCTAAATTGTCTTTCTGTCGAAAATTAGATAACCATTGTATAATCCCAATTTGTGCAGCTAGGTTTTTCAAAATTAGATTTTTTTTTATAAGCTTCATGAGATTTTACTTGGAACCATAATATTTTTCAATATTTTTGAACATTTATCAAGTCCTACTATTAACTGAGCTTTATGTTATGTTGTCATGACTTTATAATACAAGCAAATTTGCATGTGACACTTCAGAACAATATTAATTAATAAAGCGTTATATTATAACTTCAAAAAATTATGATGAATTGCTAGTTATGCCTATTCTACTATAAATCACCCATGACTCATCGCTATGGTTTTTTTCAGATATTTTGCAGTACGCAGCAAGGTTTTTTTTATGCGCAGCAACATTTGAACTCAATTTTGAAGAACAATGTTTACGTTGCATAAGTTTAACGACCGAAAATCAAAAAAAAAGGCCCAACGAAAAAAGGTTGAAACATAAAAGGCCGAAAATATATGAACCTACCACCTAAGTTTGAAAATGTATAAATCGGCCACAAAAGGCTGAAAAAAAAACATAAATATTTATCGTTCGGTTGATGAAAAATATTACAATTTTTGACATTCGTTAAATGATATGCATTTCTTAAAACTAGTTGTTACATATATTTGAAATGTATCAATGGCAAGTTTTTCGTGACATTTTAATATTCCAAAACGTTGACGCCCCTTAAAACTTGTTTCATATAGCGAAATTCCAGCTGAAGGATATTCAGTTTATAATCCTTCACTTGGCAAACATAAAACGTACCTCTTGATAAAATATTGCTCATGATGAAACGAGCTGAAGCGAAATTAAATTGAAGCAATTTTTACTACGTTTATGACACAATTAAATATAGGGGGAATTGGTACAAATATATTTCCCCTAATAGACGCTTTGATCCACTTTTTATCGCACCAACAGGTAGTTTTTTGGGGATAAAAGTTATTCTAATCTTAAAATTTACTATTGCTGTTGCTCAACGGTTTGTAAGAGTTTTTATAGACAACAATAAGAGCATTCCTAACATTTGATATATACATGTTTTTCGACCACAAATTTGCGCTTTTAATGTATAATGTTCTGAGTTGAGGGTGGGACAATATGCGCCGTGTGGTTTGGTAACACCTAAACAGCCATTGCAGTTTAAATTACTGTTATGAGTTACGTAAAGCAGGAGCTACAGATAGTTTTCATAAAAGTTTTCTAAATGCAACCTACATTTATACTTCCCGTAATAATAACGTACGGTTAGCGCATAAATGTAGGCAGCAGCCTATATAATAGTTAGCAAAAAGCATAACACTTACCAGCAAAAAATATAAACGCTAGAGTAAGTGAGCTAGTTTTTAGCCCTAATATTTCTCTAATTGGCTTTATCTTAATTTTCAAATTTATTCATTCCATACCAAATTTATGTTGATGCATGGTTAGAACATATAATTTGCCATATATCTACGCAAATTAAACCATGCAACAACATGCAAACCATGTGCTAGGGTCAACAACTGGAGCACTAGTGCCATAACTGGTAATATTACCCTACTTTGAGAAGATTTTTTTGTAAAATAATTTTACCAATGCACTATTTTTCGAATGTACCTACTTAAATAGAATGCTTATTTTTGATCAAAATGTAGCGAAAATCGATAATTGTCTTAAAGGGCTCGTATTACTCCACGTTCCCCTTCTCTGAAGAGTTAAAAACAATTGATTTTATGCGTTTTTTAGCGATGCACGTATTTTTCCGAATTTGTTTTTCCTTAATTCTTTGAACACTAGTTGTTTGATAGTGTACTGTAGAAAATCAGAAGAATTTTTGTACCTAGATCTTGAATACTACAGCTTTAGTTTAAGGAATTTCTATCTTGAAAATCTGATATTGTCTTCAATACAGGGTATTGATTTTATTCAAAGTTCTTTGCATACGAAATAGGAAAATATGATCTACGAACTTAATAAAGTCGCAGCATCTTGGGTTGAGAAAAATTTTCAACTAAACAATTTCAATTAAAAATTCTCAGGAGATCATGCCACTATCTAAGCATCTATGTTTATGTGAAATCTTGAGCATGAAACAACTATGAATAATGTCTAACAAGTAAAAACACAGTGATAAAGAGTTTTAAACTTTTTTTTTTGCTAAATATTAGTTCACGACATGAAACGTTACACACCCTAAAATAACATAAAAGGCCGAACAAAATCGGCAGGGCGGCCGAGGTGACTGGTGAGAGCTCGCACGGGTTTTTGTATATTTTGGTCTTTTGTAATTCGACGTTTCGTTATAATCCCGAAAAAATCACTTAATTCGAGTATGTTCAGGCTGTGGGGTAAAATAGGCTCAAAACATTTAAATCCAAACCATTTGTGAAATAGTTCAATTATTTTTCCGGTATGATATTTTTTTTATTAGTGAAGTGCTACCGTAGCATGCTTCAAAATTAATTGAGCAAGAAATATTTCTGTTTCCAAATGCCAGAGTCAGAGCGAATTTCATCCTGAAGTAGTTTTTTAAAACAAACGATCAAACTGACGTTTGTCTGAAAACAGGTAGAGCAAATCTTGATAATTGATCCAGTTTGACACTGAATCAAAAACAAATTTGGTATTATTTATCAACCATAATTCATGTACCGCTAGGACGCCATTCATCACTCGAACTCCCTTATTTACTCACAGTATGCTAATTATCATTATTTCTGAAAATTATTGCATCAAACACCAATATTATTATACAACATAGTGTTTTATTGTTGTTGTTGTTGTAATAATTTGCTATTTTTTAATGAAAAAAATAACGCTATTAAGAATATAAAGTGTGTTCCAGTTAGCAGCTGTTAATTTTCAATTTGGGCATCAAAATGTGGCTGCTGGTTGATCGTGTATATCAAACAATAATTTTTGGCTTGATTCGTGAATCGCTTCTTATATGGTTGCTTTTTTCGAACTGTTATTTCTTGAAGTATTTTGAACAACATTTGTTCAAAGCAAAATAGAAAATTGATGGCTCATGCAGGGAAACTTTAGTAGGGATAAGTACGAAAAATTACGTTTCCCAATTCCCGGCAATTTTGGGTGAAAAATATGAGAAAATTCTATGGAGAAAGTTTGACGATATTTCCAGACGAAGTCTGAAGATTTTCTAAAGGAAGGTGAAGTCAGAAGATTTTTCCGAGGGTAGCTACAGGAAATTTCCTAGGACATTTTCATGCGAAGCCAAAAAACTTGTCCGGGAAGTTAGCAGAAACTTCCGAGGATGTTGAAAAAATCTTCTGGTGTACTTAAAAATGGTTGAATAGATGCTTCCAATGACAGTTTTGAGAAACATCCTGAAGAATTTGGATTAAACTCCTTGCGGAAATGAAAAGCAGCTACCGTGGAAGCCAGGAGGACTTCTGGAAGATAAAATCGGATCATTATTTATAGGAAAGTTGGAAGAAACTTCTTGGTAGAATTCAGTAATATCTTCTGGGTAAAAAGCTGCTGAGGTTAGTCGTAAATAAATTCAGAAGAAGTCAGAAAAATTTGGGAACAGCATGGAAAAATTGTCTAATTGAAGTCAAAAATGTCCGGGAAATGGATTCACTAGTTTTATATTTTATTCTGACTTTTCATGTGATTTATATAACAGAAATTGTCATTTTGTAACCATTTTGTATAGTAGTATTTTTGTTTTTTCAACGCCATTTCACACCAACTGAATGATATTCAGAAAATTTTATTTTTCATAGAAAGCTTAGATTCAAGACTTTACTTCGTGGTTAACATGACAGTTGTGTAAACTTGGGATAAAATGTGGGAGCTCGATGTTTCCGACCAGATTTTGCCGTGTACATTCTTTAGATCGTGTAAAGTTATGAGATTTGTAATTAAATATTTCAAATATTGTAAGCAACATTCACTAGTGAAATTTGATTTTGTTTTCCGTTTGGTTACAATATTTTTTACAATATCAAAACACGAAACCTATGCGACAAAATTAAAGAAAAATTTTGCGATTAACTTCCAACATATGTTAAACATACATGTGATTTGTCTCGACATCTTGTTTCATAGAATAAATGTCTCTTCAAAGTTCAGTTGGAAAGTACGCGACGACTAGTGTAATAAACCTGAACTTTTGGGCTCCACTGTTTACTGCACCAACAGTAAACATCTCGTTGACTGTTTTTGAGTTTAAATCAAGCACATGCCTTCGAAAGTAGAGCACAGTATTGGCTTTTTATGTTCAATTGATTTCTTTTAGGAAACTTGTCACCAGCTGAATATACATTACGTTCCAAAGTGGCTTCAACAAATCTGTAACGCAGAAACGATATTTGGCAGCAAAATATAAATTACACAATAATTGTATAGAGTTGATTGTAAATAACCAATGTAAGAGTATTTAGCGCTTTAAACCAATTTAGTGTGTTGCATCGGTATAGCCAAGATTGCCGTTAGGATCTCCCAATAACAATAACTACTACAGAGAGCAGATAGAGGCAAAAGGAGCAAGAGAAGCAACGGACGAAATCGGGCTCTTATTCGGATTTATTGCAATTTATCGACTTATAGTTAGCGCCACATATACACACATACAAGCATAGCAAGCATTCCTACATGTGTTTTACGAAAAGGCAACTGTACCGAGTGGAGCAGGATCGTTTGTAATTAGTTTTATCCAATTAAATTCGATTGTATAGAGCATTAAGTGGAGAAGAATTGTGAACGCTATAAGCTTTATAAGTGAAAGAGGATGAAGTGAAGGAG